CTTTAATTAGAAATTGGGAGTTAAAGATAAGTCACAGTATAAGATTCCCTAGTTCTTAGCTCAGTTTAGATGTTTCCAGTTTAAATGGACAGACTGAAGAAATTATTTTAGGATAACCTCAAAGATTGAATTTCCTGCCTTTGTAGTCACTTGAGGAAATGTCTGCTATCAAGAGCATAATCAGAACACCTAATAAAGTCATTTAAAGTAGTATGATAACAATTATACAAATTATCTAAATGATGTTATATTTGTTATAAATACCTAATAGGTTTTGATCAACTTTTAATAATACTTATACATGAAATTCTTAATTTTCTAAGTTAAAAAAATTAATAAACCTTTCTGCTTTATTAACTTCTATTGACACTGACATTTTATAGGAGCCTGGCAGTGTTGGGTGGGAACACACAACTTTGCTCTCAGATAGCATCCCAGCAAGAGGACAGGAGGTACTGCTCACTCTTGTAACGAAAGAGGGTGGAGTAAATGGAGGCCATCAGGTCTACAGAATGAGACTTCCCTTCTATTCTTCCTTGTCTTCAACTGTAGTTTGGCTTAATGCATTTATCTAAAGGTTTTAAAAATGCTGAAGAAGCCAGCACTAGTGGTTCATGCTTATAATCCTAGCTACTCAGGAAGCAGAGATCAGGAGGATCACGGTTTGAGTCCAGCCCAGACAAATAGCTTGACAGACCCTATCTCAAAAATACCCAATTAAAAAAAAGGGCTGGCAAAGTGACTCAAGTGGTAGAGTGCCTGCCTAGAGAGTGTGAGGTCCTGCGTTCAAACTCCAGTACTGTAAAAAACAAAAACAAAAAAACCCACTACAGAGTTGTTAATATTTTTTTCCAAGAATGACACTCACGTTGAAATTAAGAAAGAGACAATTAGAAAGCCTGGTGGCTCTGTTTTCTGGAGACAAAAGAGTTCCACTACCAGGATCACTAAGAGGAAGGGTTTTCTTCTCTTCCTTTTATTTATTTATTTATTTATTTAGTTAGTTAGTTAGTTAGTTAGTTAGTTCCTTTTTCCATTCCCTTCCTTTTTTTTTTTTTTTTTTAAATAAGGTCTCAATATATAGCCCAGACTGTGTGCTAGGGTTATAGGCATTTTATCTGATGTGCCCAGCTGGAGAAAAGGTTTTGTATGTGAATTTTTAACAGCCTCAAATATGATACTTTATAAAAATGCAAAATAAGAATAAGAGATTTATCTTTTCAATTTTAACAGTGCCAGGAGTAATATTTTGGTAAAAATTTGAAGAGTTCATAACAGTATGTGTCACTTAGGTAAAAGATAACTTGCTACCTTGGGAAGGAAATTAAAAGATGGAAAATAATATACATTTCATAACAAAAATGTTCATTACTCAAAACAAATTGCAAGCTACTGAAATATTATTTTTTGTACAAAATTTCATAACATTTCCTTTATACATGTGCCAGGCACTGTGTGTGTAACCACAACAGTTCTATGCCAAAGGTATCACTCTCTTTACAGGCATCAAAACTTTGGCTCAGAGAAGCTGATGTTAATTTGTTGAGGGTCCCACAGACAGCCTGGGGCCAAACTGTGGTCTTAACCACTGTGCAATTTCAGAGAATAATTTAAATGCGCTCATTAAAATTGCCACTTGACAAAACACACACTCACAACTTATTTCCTCAGACATAATGTTCCTAAGTTTATTACTTGTTAATTATTCTTTGTGCTCATGGAGTAATAAGCCTATATTTTCTTATTATCTATCAGTACAATTCGAACACAGACAGGATGCTTTTCTTTTCTTCAGCAATGAAGAAAACAAATGATGATTTACCTATAGGCATTCTAGCACTTCCTGTGATTTGCCAGAAAACTCAGCCATGAGTTTTATGACACAAGATGGGATGGTACTACATAAAGTGATGTTTCCTTTCCAGCTGAGAAACAAATGAGTGTACCCCAGCAGGTCTGACCCCAAACAGCCAGATGTGTAAAGTCACCACTTCATTCCCTAGGAGAAAAACCTTCTCCAGACAGCAGTGCTAGGCAGTTTGGCAGTTGGGAGCTGGACAAATTAGTGTTAATCCACTGAGCCATGGTGTCTGTCTCGTATCCCAAACTGCTGCTGGAATTCATAAGATTTTTAACCACCCCACTTGAAAAATATCACATATGATGAATTGCCACCAAATTTGAAACTGATATACAACTTTTTTTTAAAAAAGGGAAGCCCCTAATTTAAAATTATGTGGTGACTCACTTCTCAAATATTTATAGCATATTTACTATGTGCTAGGCAATTTGCTGTGCACTGAGAAAGCATCATAAACTAGAGCAGCACAGTCCCTGCTTTCACTGAAATTGTGTATTTGTTGGCAACTCCCATCACGTTATCTCTAATAGAAATATGTAAAGCAAGGACCTTGAGGTGGTTGCCAACTTTGAGTTACTACTTTAAGGTGGTTTTTATAAACCTCAAAATAAAAGTAGATGTCATGGTCTTAATATGCTGATGTAGCATATTGAATTTTTTTTTTGGCAGCACTGGGATTTGAACTCAGGGTCTCATACTTACTAGGCAGGTGCTCTTACTGCTGGAGCTACTCTGCCAGCCTTCATATTGAATATTTTTGATGTTTCATTTTCCTCTTTTTCCTTCATATTACTACTTACACTATTTGATATTTAAACACTTAAAGAACACGCTGATCCAAGAATTGGAGAAAACCGATGGAACAGAATAAAACGAAGGGAACAATATTGCCACACTCTATACAGGTAAAAGCCTCAGTCCAGATGAAAAGTATCCTGTGTCAGATGGCTTGTACTGCTTTGGCTTCAGCATCACAGGTCCTATCTCTGTCCTTCAAGTGTTAGAAAAACCTTCACCACGTGACCCACAATACTAACAAAAGCATAAATGCCACCAAGGTGATGGGAGTTTTCCAATGCAGTTTTCACGATGATGTGAACAACTACAACCCAGTTCTGGAATGGCTCTCTAGGTTTCTTCTGCAGGGACCAAATGGGGTCAGTCTCTCTGAATTTCTCTCACTCATCACTGGCATTGGTGCCCCCATTTCCTCTTACCTCTCACATCCTGGTCCCTTGCCTGCAAATCTATACCTCCCACTGTTCCAAAATTGCCTCCAACACAACATACCTCCTTACACACAAAGCTGATGAATGTGCTCCTCTTCCTGTGCAGGCACATTCTCTAACCAGGCCCAGATTTGCCACAGATGGCCTGAGCTCATCTTTCCAGTTTTAACTATCATTTCTTATAGGTATCACACTTCAGCTAAAATTAATTAAGTAGCTTCATATATACTATTACAGAACATTCACTAAGGCAAGAAAGGCAAAGTATACAGCAGTCTGTATATAGAAAACAAAGGGTATGAATGCAGACATACAACCCTTAGATACAACAGAATAGCTCTGGACAAACACATGAATCTGGATGGAATGGCCATCCCTTGGAAGGTAAACTGGGGAGCTCAGATACAATGGTGTAACTTAAATTTTATATCAGGTGCTCATATATATTCAAACAAAAATACTTAAAAATTATATCTGTGTATTCAAATTCAATGTCCCTCTTTCCATGCCACAAAGAAGCCTTAAACTTACTAGAAAGAACTCCCCCAACTTTCCTTCTATCTAACTTGATGCCACTTTCTTTAGGAATACTTTCCTAAGTCTCATAGTGGGCCCATAGTGAATAGCTACCTTACTCACATATCTATACTGTTATTTGTAGACATCTGACTTATTATGGGTAAGCTGTTACAGGGCAGGGCTGTCTTATTCATCACTTTTCACAAGACAATAACTAGGCTACAATGGCTCTAAATTCATACACGGGAGGGTGAAGAATAGTCAACTGAAGCTGTAAGGGTACAAAACCCATGGTGTAACTGTTCAGTACTGTGCTCTCAGAGACTTGTGGAGAGCCTACTAGATAAACAAAAAGAAAGACTTCTACACATTGGTGGAGACTTTTTTCAGTTTGTGTTTTCAGGACTAAAATTTGGTTCACAACAAATACTTAATCAATAACTAAAGACATAAAGGACTTTTATGGTTACAAAGCCATCTGCTTTCTTTAAGTTACAAGTTACTTAAAGATTCCCCAAGAAAGGGGAAAGTATAACAGGATTGTTTTGAGGAATAATTAAAAGATCTTCATTCTAATTTAAAAATCTGAAGTGAAATGATTCTTACACATAATTTCTGTTCCACAGCCAGCTTCTAAACATTTCCTTAGAAATTAGCTCTCTCTTTTTTTTATCCCTTCTGAGTTGTCCTCTCAGCTTCACGCAAATCCCTCCCTAATTACCAGGGTTTCTTTGCGTCACAATGACTATTTCAAGCAATTGTATAATCATCACTTTTCCTGCTCTGTCTTCCACCTCAAAACTATAAATAGTCACCTTGACTTCAGAGTACTTTCAGGTTATTTGACCTACATATTATTTTGTTAATTTCTATCTTACACTGTATTCCTAATAAACCTTTGTCCTTTATCCAAATACGATAGCAAGTGATCATGGCAATGAAAAAAAAGATATCCTAAAGACTTTAGGTTTTATAAAGTCTTTATATTTTATCCCAGAAGTCAGGAATGGTCATTTTGTGTTAACAGTTTTCAAAATTTTTAAAAAGAAGCAAAATATATTCAACAGTGGAAGCTAAAACAGATATAAAATGCTTAGTAAACAAAACAGAATCCTCACGTATCAACAAGCTGCAGCCAGCTCCTGTCAGGGAACTTTTTGTAAAGTAGCTTTTCCATCTTATAACACTGGAGAAATGATTTTGTAATTTCTTTAATGCAAAGCTTGAATTAAGTTGCATCAATGTATATATTACATCAAAGCAAATGACAGTAATAAGGTATTTTTTAACCTTAGGAAAATACAGTATTTACACAGCTATCTGAATATAAAATAAAATACTACAAGGTAATTAAATTGATAAAAAAGGTTGCAAAGATCAAATTTACTTACATCAAGAGAGCCTTCATTTATAACAATCATCCCCATGTTTTTCTTCAAAAGTTTGCAGGAGTGTCCTATGCACATAGAGTAAAATGGTAAAATTAATATTTAAGAGAGAAGTGATGTTAATGTAACAATACTACCAAAACATTTATAGAGGATCTTTTTAGGAGTGACATCAATCAGTTCTCAGGTTTACAGGAGGTTAAAAATGAAATTCTCTTGCTTACTAGATAAGAACATTTTTTTTCCCCTTAGGCTGTCTTTCTTGGAAACAATACGAAGAGTCTGCAGTAAGAATTCTCAGTGTCTTGGAAAACATATATGGAATACTCTTCCTGATGACCAACATGAAGAGATAAAAGATGTCCCAGTGATTATTTCTAGAGAATGGTGTAGGAGAGCAGGATGACAACCTTCTAGACCCACTAATTCTCTCCCAGCCTGCTACCTCAGTCAGTCATGACATCCTTTCCTTGTCTGCCCTCTTGCTTTATCGTAATTACTATATGACAAACCACCTCTTTACTAAACCCAACTCTGCCCATTCCGTGCCAGCTTTACAATGCTAAATGTGGCTGGAGAAAAACAGGCAATGCCACTAACTGGCTTCATATGAAAATCATACAATCTACATTTACTCCTTTTGTGATCTCAGTCCAACTCATGCTTTTGGGTATCATCTACATGTCCTTTTTTTTTAATGTGGTGCTAGGGATCAAATCTAGGGTCTCACCCCAATGAGAAGATCCTCTGCCATTGAACTATATCCCTACCCCTAAATGTTTATCATTTTGAAACTCATCTCCCATTCAGCTCTCTCTCCTGAACTCCAGACTCTCATGAACAAGTTCGTACTTAACATAATACATTTGGATAAAAATTAGGCATCTCACACTTACTATACCCCAAAACCAGGATTCTGACTACACTTACCACTTCTATCCCTATGAAATCTGCCTCTGCCTCAGTCTGTTTACCAGTCAATCTTCTTGTTCTACTTTAAAAACACATTAAGAACCCAGCCACTTCTTGCCATTACCATCTTGTCCAACTACTATCATGTTTCTGCTGAATTAATGCAATAGCCTCTCCCTGCTTCCATTTCTCTGAGTCTAGTCTCAGCCTTGCAGCCAGAGTGACTGCTTTCACAGGGAAGTCAGATCATGCCTTTCCTCTGCTGAGAACCATCCAGGCCTGGACAGCTCCATCTGCCTGGCTCTGATGGGCAACCTCTGCATATGTGTTTTCTTTCTACAACAGAAGAGGGTTTCTCCCTACCCATCCCACGGCAAGCTCCCTCTTCTCTTTTACATCATTTCTCAGATGTCACCTTCTCAACAAGTTTCCCTGACCTTAAAACTGAATCCCTCTGTGCAATGCCCTAACTTCTCCCATTTTACATTTTTTAAAAAATAGCAATCACTGTCATCTACTATACTGTGCATTTTTCTACTCACTTTATCTTGTGTTTCCCTGACTAGGATCTCAGCTCCACATGGGCAGAGATTTGGTTACTTTTCTTTCCTGGCACTGTAGACACCATGACCATCTGCAGAATGAAAGAAGCTTTCCTCCTCTTTTTTTAGGAGCAACCGTGGCCAAAAAATGAGTCTGAAACTTCAGTGTTACAGGGAACACCTCACTCTTTTATTCCACAGGAACATTGATCATGATGACATATCTTACACTATTTGTGCCTATTTTCCTCCACATCACTCTTTCTCTGACTCTGTTTGCAGTCATACTGTTTTACCCTATTTGTGTTTTCAGGTCTCCCAATTTTAATGCATTCTGCACTTCAGCATAATTCCTTTCTCATACATCTTCTATTGTCTCTAATACCAGTGATAATTTTTATAACAAAAATTAACATGGGTGGAAGGCCAAGTCAGTGTCTCATGCCTGTAACCCCAGCTACTTGGGAGGCAGAGATTGGGAAGATTGTGATTTGAGGCCACCAGGACCCCATCACAACAAATAAACTTGGTGTAGTGATTCATACCTGTCATCCCAGCTATTTGAGAAGCATAAACAGGAGAATCATAGTCCAGGATTCACTGGGCACAATTCTGAGATCCTACTTGAGAGAGAACTAAAAGGACTAGGGAGATAGTTTAAGAAGTAAAGTGTTTGTCTAGCAATCATGAGGCCCTGGGTGCAAACCCTAGTAGTGTCAAAAAAAGAAATTAACTTGTATGGCTTATAAAGTTCTACTAGCTAGTTTTTTAAAAATAAAATTTAATATTTGGGTAACTACCATCCTGTTATTTTCCCCATGATTGTTAATAAATTTATATACATTTTCCCCCTAAAAAAATAAAAACTTTCCAGTAATAACATCAACTTACTATGAATTTGTAGTAGATTTTTTATCTTTAGCTTGTACTAAAGGCTGACTGCGGAGGAATATTAAATGTATTTTAATATTAGGAAAAGAATACTTAAAAATGACTTTCTAAAAATGGCATTTCATGTTATGTATGCCCTTGAAATGGTTTCTTCAACTTGGGAAAGTTTCATATGTAATATATGTGATTCCTATCAAGAAATTAATCTCTGTCAGGGTTTACAGACTTCAGGCTACCTTCTGTTAGTGAATTTGGAAAAAAGTTATTTTTCTTCTTACACATTACTGGTACTACAGGCTTATAACACCAAATACTCACTTCTCAGTAAGATGGCTGTTATGGCTGAGTTGTGTCTTTTCCACCCCCAGATTGATATGCTGAAACCTTAACCCTCAATGTGACTGTATTTGGACACAGGGCCTTTAAGGAAGTAATAAAGGCTTGTCAAATGAGGTCATAGGTGGACCTTCTATGGTCTGAATATTCATGTCTCCCCAAAACTTGTATATTGAAATCTAACTGGCCATGTGGTAACAGGAGGTGTGGGCTTTGGGTGGTGACTAGGTCATGAGGGCAGAGCCCTCATGCATGGGATTAGTGCTCTTACAAAAGAGGCCCCCGAGAGGTGCCTTACCCCTTCCACCACATGAGGACATTGTCTACTGAGGACCTACCTACAGAAGGTAGGTCCTCAGTAGACAATGAATCTCTCAGTGCCTTGACCTTGCATTTTCCAGCTTCTAGAACTGTGAGAGGTAAACTGCTGTTGTTTCTAAGCCACCAGGTTTAGAGGATTTTTGTTATACTATAAGAAAGAAATTAAATCAGAGCCTTAATGCAATAGGAGTGGTATTCTTACAAGGAAAGAGACACTAGTGGAAAGATGATGTACACAGTGGAAAGGTGGTGTGAGAACACAGTGAGGAGAGCTGCCTGCAATTTGGGTGGGGAGTGGGATACTCATTAGATACTAACACTGCAGCCACCTTAGTCTTAGGTTTCCAGTTTTGGGAAATGTAAGAAATAAATTTCTGTTAAGCCACCCAGTTTATAATGTACAACAGCTTGAGCTGACTAATACAAGCTCTTTAAAACTGGAACTGCTTGTAGGATGAATGCAAACTGGCAGCCTTCTTACTTCCTTAGAATTAACCTTTGGTCATATAAGCAAGTACACAGAATGCCAAAGGCCCAACCTCCAGACAACTGAAAATTGTATGTACACATGCCACTTCTGGATGCAACATGGAGTAGGCAGGGATGCAAAGGTGAGGGAAGGTATATGTGGTAGCAAGAACTAATGTTACACTGTATATAAAACAACTGCAACTTTAAAGGGGCATTGGGGCTATAAGTACAAGGAAAAGCCTGATAATATTACAGATCTGAATTCTTGAAGTAACAAATCTTTCAAATCTTAAAATGCCTCAAATCCAACTTATTAAAATATATCAAACTATTAAAAAGCACTAAGATTTAAAATCTGAAGTAAGTGAATTACCAATGTTAATGGCAGTTTCTTGCTTGTCTCCTGTAAGGATCCAGATTTTGATGTCTGCTTTCATTAGCATTTCTATGGTTTCAGGCACTTGATCTTGTAATTTATCCTCAATGGCTGTAGCTCCAAGAAGCTGAAGATTCTGGAGAAAATGAGTGGTAAAATGTTAAGAAAACCACTTTATATTCTGTAAGAAAAAAACTGAAGTATGCATTTGTTTTAAAATTAGACGCTTAATGATAATTCATGGACGTTAGTAGAGCAACTATCCTACTGAGTCTTCTCTCTTAAGGATCATTGGCTTTCATCCAGTAATTTTGGCATGAAACTGAGAATCCCTGAAGCTGTCTTACCTTACATCTCTCTATAGCAAGGAACTGATTAAAAAAAAAAAAAACATTTAAAAGGGGAGGAAATAAAAAGTCAGTTAAAAGGAACAGATGACTACTAAGAAAAACAAAGCAATGGAAGATTAACACAATGAAGGAGGAATTTTATTTACTTGTTTAAAAAAGAGCAAAGATACATGCTAATACCACTAAACTGTATTCTGATGCAATGGCAGGAAACATGATATAATTAGAAATGATTTAGAGGTAAGGGAAGAACAGTTTCTGCCTGGAAGCAAGGGGGTGAGGGGGAGGGGGCAGGAGGGGGGACGAAGGGGGTGGCGGGTAGGATATAGGAGAAGAAATGGCCCAAACATTGTATGCACATATGAATAAATGAAAATAAAAAAAATTGGAAATGATGAGGAAGACAGCAATAAACAAAGTGACAGCATTAGTCTCTAAGAAAACACAGGTTGAGAGTGTTTCATATTGTTCTACAATTGCATAGTGGAGGAAGGTCAGACTACTTCTTGCTTACTAGATGGTATCTTTCACACAACATCAACCAATACAAGCATACTTCAGAGACATTCTGGGTCTGGTTCCAGATCATCATGGTAAAGCAATAACACAACTAAACAAGAGGTACGTTAATATTTTGGTTTCCCACTGAATAGAAAAGTTGTTTTTATACTGTACTGTAGTCTATTAAGCATGCAATAGCATTCTAAAAACAATGTAAATACTTTAATCAAAAATAATTTATGAGTCTTTGCTCCCATTTCCTGCATGGGGAACAGTTAAAGTTTCCCTCTCTTTTTCTTTCATCACCCTTGTCTACACCTTATCCCATTATACTAAAATAAATCCTTGCTAAAACTCCACCCCCAAAATTTATTAGGCCAGTATGGAGGCATATACCTGTAATCCTAGCTGTAGTCTTTGCTGGCTAGCCTAGGCAAAAGCACAAGACCCCATCTGATAAACAAACTACAAGCAAAAGAACTGGGGCCTGACTCAAGTAGAGTACTTGCTTTGCAAGTACAAGACCCTGAGTTCAATCCCTAGTACTGCCAAAAAATCAAGTTATTGTTCAGAAATGTTAGTGGTAATCTGAGCCTTCAGCAAGTCATACTGTTGTTGCTAGGAGAGGGTCCTGCCCTGATGTTGATGGGTGCTGACTTACCAGGGCAGTGGATGTCGATGGCTAAGGTGGTTGTGCATATTTCTCAAAACAAGGGAACATTAAAACTTGCCATATGGATCAACTCTTCTTTTCATGAAACATTTTCTCTGTAGCCTGTGATTTTGTTTGACAGCATTTTATCCACAGAACTTCCTTCAAAATTAGAGTAAATCCCTCCAAACCTTTCCACTGCTGTAGGAACTAAGTTTATGTCATTCTAAGTCTGATACTGACATTTCAATAACAAATAGATTCCATCCAAAGAAACTACTTTACTCGTCCACAGGAAACACCTCCTCATCCATTAAAGTTTTATCCTGAGATTGCAATAGTTCGGCCACATCTTCAGGCTCCACCTCCAGCTCTAGGTCTCTTGCTATGTCTACATCTGCAGTTACTTCCTTCACTGAAGTCTTAAATCCTTAAAAGTCATTTAGAAGGGTTGGAATCAACCTTATTTAAGCTCCTGTTAATGTGAATATTTTTATCTCGTCCTGTGAACCACAAATGTCCTTAATGGCATTGAGAATGGGAAATTCATTCCAAAAGGTTTTCAGTTTCTTTGCGCAGATCCATCAGAGGAATCACTATAATGGCTGTAGCCTTATGGAATGTATTTCTTAAAATAATAGGACTTAAAAGTTGATAGTATTCCTTAATCCCTGGGCTGCAGAATAGATCTTACGTTAGCAGGCATGAAAACAGTAATCTTGTCATATGAATCTGTTAAAACTCCTGGGTGACCAGGTGTACTGTCAATGAATAATAATATTTTGAAAGGAATCTTTTTCCCTGAGCTGTAGGTCTCAGTAATGGGCTTCCAATATTCAGCAAATCATATTATAGATAAACATGTCATCCAGGATTTGTTGTTCCATTTACAGAGCACAGGCACAGTACATTTAGTGTAATTCTGAAGGGCTCTAGGATTTTCAGAATAGTAAATGAGTGCCAACTTCAACTTAAAGTCACCAGTTGCATTAGCAACCAACAAGAGCCAGCCTGTCCTTTGAAGTCAGGCACTGACTTCTCCTCTCCAGCTATGAAAGTCCTTGCTGGCATCTTCTTCCAACAGGAAGCTGTTTGGTCTGCACTGAAAAATCTGTTAGTATAGCCAACTTTACCAACCATTCTAGCCTGACCTTCTGGAAAACTGGCTGTGAATTCTCACCAGCATGTGCTGCTTTATCTTATACTTTCCATGGTATAGAGGTGGCCTCTTTCCTGAAACCTTAAGAACCAACATGTTCTGGCTTTAAGCTTTTATTTTGCAGCTTCCTCACCTCTCTCAGCCTTAAGAGAATTGAAGATGGTTAGGGCCTTGCTTTGAATTAGGCTTTGATTTAAAGGAATGCATTAGCTGGTCTGATCTATCCAGACCACTAAAGCTTTATCCATATCAGCAATAGGGCTGTTTTGTTTTTTTAATTCATGTGTTCACTGGAGCAGGACTTTTAATTTCCTTCAAAACTTTTCCCTTGCATTCACAACTTGGCTGTTTGGTGCAAGAGGCTTCTCTTTCAGCCTGTCTTGGCTCTAGACATTGCCTTCCTCACTTAGCTTAATCAATTCCAGCTTTTGAGTTAAAGTGAGAGACATGCAACCCTTTCTCTCACTTAAATACATGGAGGCCATGTAGGGTGATTAATTGGTTTAATTTCAATTTTGTTATACCTCAGAGACTACGGAGGCCTATGGGGAGGGAGAGAGATGGGGGAATGACTGGTTGGTGGAGCAATCAGAACACACATTTATTAGGTTCACTGTCATATGTGGGTGTGGCTCACGGTGCCTCCAAACAATTACAGTAACAAAGATCTTCAACAAATTCAATACCGATGAAAAGTTTGAAATATCACAAACTTTGAAATATCATCTTGGTGTTACGAGACATTCAGTCAGCTCATGCTGTTGGAAAATGGCATTGAAAGACCTGCTCTATACATGCGTATTATTTAGGCCTGTATCAGTTAGGAATGCTTTGGTCTGCAAGTAATAGAAAACTGTGACTTTTAATGTCTTACTTCCTGCTTCTTTTTAGCTTATTGTCTCTTTTTAGTTTTCCTTTACTTCTTAAAACAAGCTTTCCCCTTTGTTCTGCTCAGATAAAATTCTGCTCACCTTTACATCTTAACTTGCCACAGAGGTTGAACATTGCTGAATAGAAAATCTAAAATCCAAAATGCCCCCAAATCTGAAACTGTTTGAGCACCGACATGATGCCCTAAGTAGAAAATTCCACAATCAACCTCATATGGCCAGTGACAGCCCAAATGTAGATGCAACAAAAATATAGATATTCATAATGTAAACTTACCTTCAGGGTATGTGAATAAGGTATATTTAAAAAAAATGAATTTCATGCTTAGAATTGGTTCCCATCCCTAAGAGATCTCATTATGTACATAAAACACTCCCAAATCTGAAAAAATCTGAAACACTTCTTGTCCCAAGCATTTTAGATAAGGGACACCCAACCCGTATTAAGACTAACGTGTTTTTCATCATACCTCCATAGCATTGAGGGTGAGTATGCAGTACATTTACTAAGTAAACTAGCAACAGCAAAACAAAAACAAAGCCTGAAAATTAAAAAATGTTGCTGCAATCTGGACAATTTTTTTCAATACAGTCCAAATCATGTGGATAACTATTAGACAGACTTGATACATGACTTCTTAGTATGTAATATATAAAATAGGAAGGCAAATTTCCTCTTTTAAGAAGACAGTATTATTTTATTATCTTTAATGGGAAGCAGATTTGAAATTTATCATAACCTGATGAATAATTACTATCAAGAAGTTCGAGGAGAAAAAAGGAAGAACAGCCCAGCATCAGCTATGCCAGCATCACAGCTGCTGAATTTCAACATCTAGACAATGATCCCATCAGGTCTTTCAGCTACTTTTAGGGCATTTGCAGTTACACCATTCTGGCTCACATCCCAGTAAGGATCGGCATGTAGTTGCATTCAAATTTTAAATATTCTGTGGAAGGCATGATATGAGGACAAACACAAACCTTCAATAATTACTAACCCAGAAAAAAACTTTTTGTAATGTTTCACAAAACACTGGGTAACTAGATAATGTGAGAGACAAGATGTGAACACATTCATTAGAAATACATAAACACATATTTGTACCTAGCTCTACTCTAAGGGGAGAAATAAGCTCAGAAAGTATACAGGTATACATTATCAAATATGAACCCATAAAAAGACTACTGGAGAGATCATGTTTAAATCTACTTGAAAGAAGGAAAGCATCTGGTTTTCTACAGGTAAAAGGGAAACATTTCCAAGCCGAGAAAAAATAATATAAAGGACCAAAGAAGTAGGGCCAGCAAGGTATGCTGAGAAAAGTCACAAGTAGGATAATATGGAGTGAGCTGGTAGCTATGGTAACAGGAACTTCTAAAAGGGTCATAAAACATTTCTGAATATTCAGTGAAACTGCAGTGGATCTACTTTGATGTGTATAAAGGAACACTGTGCTTTCAAAAGTCTGTTCATTTTCCCTTTATCCTAAGAGCTTCCTGAGAACAGCACTTTTAATTTTAGTGGAAGGTTCTACAGACTCTTTTCCCTTTGCACGGGTGTCATTTATTGTAAGATTAGGA